TTGCACCACATATGCCAACCTCCCTCGACCACCTTCTCTCCCAGTACCACCCAACATGTGCGCCTGCTGGGAATGTCAAAAGAAGTGGTGTGCTTTTCCCAAACACACACCACAACTCTTCCCAACTGCTGAACTGCACCCTACCTGTTTCTACACAATGAAACTTCACCCATCTTTCAAAGCTCTAATACCTCCTCCACGAAGCCCTTCTCCTTCTTGTCAAATGCCTGACTGAGCCTCTTCTGAAACCCTCAACATTATGTGGGTCTCCCTCGTGGCCTTCATGACATCCTGCCTAACTGCCGGGCCCCCCACCACAAGCCCATGAAGCAGCAACCTGGCAAACATCTCTGAGACACTCAGAGTGGTCAGCACTGTGTCATGCAAACACCAGACCCCTGGCAGAGGATGTCTACTGGCAGAGGATATCTACTGGCAAAGGGTTGACCCCAGGACAGAAGCCTTCTAGGAAAGTCTCCCAGGTCCTCTGGCAAGCTTGACACACTGCCAACTATCCAGGTCCCTGCCCTGCCCGCCCAGGGGACACTGCATCACAGTCATATACGAGGCATGGTGGCTCAGCCTTGGTAAGGGCTGTTTTCATGTCTCACGTCATTAATCCAGAGCCAACAGCCCCTAGGACCTGTGCACATAGGAGAGGGAAGCTGCAGTCCCCGAGGAGCTGCTATTCACTCCCCGCAGCTCCAGTTGGGCAAAAGTGCTTTCTTTTCCATTGCATAAGGCACTTCTGATAGGCAAGTGACTCCACCACCAACAGGAGGAGATAAAGGCCCTGTGGGTGCAGTGAGGAGCAGAGAGTGGCTGCATGTCTATGAAGGACACACAGACAGGCAAATGTGAGCCTCAGGACCCGCCAGCCAAATGTGGCCATTCCAACAAGAAGCAGAAGGAAAAACAAGCTCTGACCAAAAGCAGAACCAGTGTGTTTTGCCTCCAGGGCCCCTTTGTTTCTCACTCTGCAGATGTGATCTGAGAGGCGCTGCTCCGAGGGGTATGGTTGGGGCAAAACACACAGGTGTAACCACCCCCACCCAGCTGTCCCCCCCCCCGCTCCAAAGGACTGCAGGGAGGGGCCGAGAAAGAGAGGAGACAGGAGCCAGGTTTCATCAGCTTTAAGGCACTGTGTGGGTGCAAGAGGCTGGATATATAGGTCTGGCCATCAGAATAATCCTGGACCAAGGCATCAGAAACCCGGATGGGAGGCCAAATTCACCCTGAAACTCAGAGAAGTGGCCTGACCTCAGCTCCTCTCTTCCTCTCCTGTCAAGTGGGGATAGCGACTGTCCTGGCGTTCACACGTGGCTGCCCAACGTCCCTCCAAGGGGTCAAACATCAACAGACTTAGAAAAAGTGAGGAACCTCATTCATGCAGGCTGACAACGGTGAGGGAGGGGGTGGCCGACACAGGCTGGCCCTGTACGTGCCACCTCTGGCCCAGTCATTCCCCTCCCCCGTGGGGAGTTATCACAAGGAAATAATCCTCATTAGCAAATATAATCTTTACACATGTCAACAGTATAATTTAGGATCACAGAAAAAATAAAATGTATCTAGGTAGCTGAGATGAACTCAGTGAAACTATTCAAAAAAGGCTCAAAGACTATGATGATATAGAAAACGGCGATGAGTAACAGGAACTGAAAATGTCATGAAATACAGCTTTACTTGTACCCTTTCTTTCATTTTGGGGGTTTAAATGAAGGTTAAAAACACTCAGAATGCTTTAAACAGAGTATGACTCCTACTTTGCCTAAATTATTAAAAACTACGTGTTGGGAAGGTATAAGGTAATCAGGAACAGTGACGATGTTTATGAAGAAGTAAAGGGATAACTCTTTTCCACTTTAGTGTAGTTCTCAGGTGTTGTTGTGTGAGTGCATGTTGCTTGTAAAGAAGAAAGAGAAGACCACATGTTTTAGAGGCAGTGTGAGTGCGGAAGGCATGGACTTCTGGGGCAAACACCAGATGGGGCCTCTGAGGCAGAGCTCGGGGAACAGAGCTTTTCTGACTCAGCCTTCCTGGGTGGGGCCACGGGCTGGTGACCCGCCCAGGCTCCATTCTCACTTTCCCGGAGAAAAGGAACGCTGTGAAACAAAATAACCAAAATAGTGCCAATTACGCAAGAACAAATTCATCAACAAAGGCCAAAACAACAGCAATTTCTATGATTTAAAATAATGAGTACAAAAAGGCAGCAATATCAGGACGGCACTCACAGTGCCTGAAAACAAAGCATCCTCGGAACACAGCAGGAGTTCCAGAGGATCTGCCCAGAAGGAGCTGCGCACGTGGCCCAGGGCTGCGCAGCCACCAGACGGCTCGGCAGAAACACCCAGACCCTGCGGGAGGAGCTCCAGGATGCTCATTTCATTTTATGAATAGCAGCTTTTAGTAACTCCTCAAAACTCTCCTCTTAGGAACCAGACTCTGGGCAGATGTAGGAATTAACCTCTGGCAGCACATTGTCATTCATCTGAACAACCCCCAGAAAGACTGGTGTTGGGTCTGCCTGCTGCACATCTCACACAGCTCCTTCCCGGCCTCCTGACACAGACCATCCGACCCACTGCCTGGGCAGCACGGCTCTGGCCAAAGCCTTGACTCTGCAGACATCGCCCGCTGGGCATGGCCAGGACCCCAGCAGAGCAGTCAGAAAGGCAGAGGGACAGCAGCCTGGGGCTCCCTAACTCTCATCATCTGTACTTCACAACTCACCTCCTGGACCTCCCGACCACTATGGGACAGAAGTATCTTCTCACACTGACAATCCCCAAGGTGGATGGTCTATTTCCCTTCCCTCTGGTGCCCCAAAGCATAACCTGGCCTAGAGTCTAGCACATGGTGGGCAGAGACCCAACAGCCAGCAAGGGAGGGAGGGACAGGAAGCCCAGGCACACCTCTCGCCAGGTTTCCACTAGCTCTTGTCAGCTCTTCAGTCACCGCGTTAGTTCAAAGCCAATCATGCCTGTGGGACAACAAGACAGGTCAGGCCCTGAAGGCCCATCCAGTCAACTCTTTTAAACTAGTTTAATCATGGAAATCTTTTTTAAAAGATTTTTATCTATTTATTTTTAGAGAGAGGAGAACTGAGGGAGTCAGAAAGGGAGAGAAACACCTGTATGAGAGAGAAACATCGATTGGGTGCTTCTCACATGCACCCCAACCAGGGACCTGGCCCACAACCCAGGCCTGTGCCCTGACTGGGAATTGAACCGGCGACCTTTAACTTTGCAGGACCATGCCCAACCAACTGAGCCATGCCCATCAGGGCCACTCATGGAGCTCTTTGACCAAATGGAATCCTGCTCCAAAGCTTGGTCAACACAGTGGTCAGGGCCAACTGCTAGGAGTGAAGGCAGCAGCAGGAGAGGTGGATGAGGCAGAATCGCTCTTCCCTTGGTTCCCCGAACACAGGATCCTGAAGGGGATTCCTGGGACCTGGACTCTTCTCATGGAAACAGCTCACTAGGTCAGCCTCACCATGTACAGGTGGGGAAGCCGCGGTCTACAAAGACAAACGGGCTCCGTAAGCGCTTCGTGGCAGAACTAGAACCAGCGCCTGTCTTCCCCCCCAGAATCCAGGGCCGCAGGAACCACACCTTCCTCCCTCTGCACACCTGCACTAGGCCTGCCCCGAGAGAGAGTGCCCATGTGGCCCAGCTGAGGGGGTGGAATAACTCCTGCATGGAGAAGCAGGCCTCCACATCAGACAGCTGTGCCACTCACACGGCTGCATAACCCTGGGCAAGTCACTCAAGTCCTGGGCCTCTCTCATCTGTAACCTTGAAGGGGTGGTGAGAGGACCCAGGAGATGACAGAGAGAGCCACCCCTGGTCTTGGTGAAGAATCACAAATGGCACGGGGCCCTTCTCCCCATGCCCTTTTGGTGAGCTTGTCTCCTCTCTCCTTAGACCCCTGCTCAGTGAAGCCCCCTGAGCCCTGCCTTACAGTACAGAGAACATTCAGGGGCCTCCGTGGTGCCGGAGCTTGCCCCGTGGACACAAAATCTAGATTTTCCCATGGTCTGACAACCTGCCAATGAAACTGAACTTCAGCCTCCAACTCCCGAGTTCCTGGCTTACCAGACCCCTTCAAACAGCGGTCTCTGGACACCCCTTTCACTTCTGGTCTGCTAGGCCAGAGCGGCAGGTTCCCACCAAAGGCCCTGCTGTCTGCTAGGCAACTGGGGTCTGTCTGGTCTGGGGACTGCTGGAAACTCAACCAGTCACAGCTCTAGAGGTGCTACCCCAAGAACCCAAAACTCCCCTTCTCACCCCTAAAAGCCTCAGGTCATAGTTCACCAGGGCCAGAAAGTGGGCAATATCCAGGGCTCTAGAATCAATCAAAGACCATCTGGAGGAGAAAAATCCAGAAACTCTAGGACACCTCTCCAGTGAGACCATGCCCAAGGCTTCTAGTCCAAGGGTAACCAAGCCTGAAAGCACTTCCACACAAGGCCAACTCACCACCCACAAGGCAACCACATCTCTTTGGCCCTAGGGGGACCGAAGCCCAGGAAACCCTCTAATTAGGCATCAGAGTTCGAGAAAAAAACGTTCTACTCAGATATAATCTGCACTTCTCACATCTAGATTTGATATTTTACAGTCAGATAAGTACAGATTCAAACTAGAAAGAACAGGATCACGGATCTGGATGGAGGGTCAACTAGTCCTCCTGCTGTTTACCAGATGAGCAAACTGGGTCCCAGAGGCTGGGTGCCTGAAAGGGGCAGAGTCAGGGCTGGAGCCCAGAGGCCCTGATCCAGGGCCACCACAGTGTACCACTCGCACTGCAGGAGTTGTGCAACTTAGGGCCCTGCCCTCGCTTCTCTGGGCAGGAAACTGTCACGCAGGGGCATTGCTGGCCTGCTTGCCCTCTCTCTGTATGTTAGTGGAGTTCCTCTGATACAGGGCACCAGTGCTACCACAGCCAAGGAAACAGAGGCAAACACCAAACACCAGGGGCTTGCAAGTTACCTTTGGGCATGATCTGATGCATGGCGACTGAGAGGAAGAAGATGGAGTCGCTGTAGTAGGTCCCGGAGCCAGCACTGAAGTGCTTCTGCATGGCCTCCACCACGGGAAAGAGCTTGTCCGTCAGCACGGCAACATCGTGGAAGACGACCTGCAGCAGGGCACAAGGAAACCACAGGACACTCAGCACACGCGTGGGCCACAGAGGGGAGACAGACAGCACCTCTCCAAGGTCACCCGCAGGGCATCCCAAGTGAGAGTTAAGGAAATGGGCACAATGATGAGGCCGGGGATGGGGACATCATGTGCAGGCATGTGTGTGGCGGGTGTAGTGGAAGAGTGGGAGTGAGGACGGGAATGGGAGCAGCCTCCCAGTCTGCTTTCAGCTCCTGCACTCCAAGCTGGGCCATCATGAACGTAGTTCTGTGCCTTGTGACTGGAAACCATGTGAACCTGTCTGGTCCTGAAGGTAGGACCCCGAGCACGTCTGAGCGGCCGGCACTGGCCCCAGCATTGCCACTGCTGGTGGCTGCTCCACGTTCCTCGGTCTAGCCGGGTGCTCCACCCACCTTGTCCAATGCTATGAACAGTGCGAGGGTCCCTGGAAAATGGAACCCCAACGATGCCTACTGCCACAGGAAATACATCCATCAACCCAATCAGTATTTCATGAGTGTCCCAGACATTTAGGAGGTGCTATGAGGGGCACAAAGAATCACCTCAGAACACTCAGAGTCTAGAGATGTCATGGCTGCTCAGCGGAGTTCTGCGGTTTATTCTCACACGCACACACTGGTCTCCACGACAACCTGGGACGTCAGTGCAGCAGATGGCACTGTCATAGCTCCAAATTACAAACGAGAAAGCAGATGCTCACAGAGGTTACAATTGCCTACAGTCACCTAGCTAATTAGTGGCGGAGCCAGAATTTGAACCCTGGTCTCCAGATTCCAAGCCCCATGTTCCTCCCACTATAAATACACCCTCTTTTCTTAACAACAACCAAGGGGGGAGGAAGACACCACCAGGACCAGTGATTGGAGCAGACAGTACAAACAGGACCTTAACAAGTTGCCTTCCTTGTTTGACATTCGTCTATATTTAAGTCTAACCCTTGTGGAGCTCCAGCCTCATTCAAGATACCAAATTACCACACACTCTGCTCATGTACTTCTTCTAAGTTTTCCCTGCTGCTCTGAGCACCCTGTAACATCTAAAATACCGCACTGTACACAAGAGGCACTCAATAAGTGCAGCCCAGGCCAGAAGTCCAAAGAGTCTTCTTCCCCCATATCCCCCTCACAAGAGATCTGCTGACGACCCCTGCCACCTCCTACCCACAGTGAGCTGCCCCCACCCTGCCCCCGTGATTCCCAACTACACAGGCATCAAAACCCCGACAACGTGTCCCCTGCCTTGTGCCCCTCCAAGCCAGCCTCTGTCGTGCCTCTCGAGTGATCTTTTGTACCTGCAAATTCATTTCTCTTTTTCCTTGGCTTCAAATCCTCCAGTGGCTCCTCACTGCCCTCAGTTATAGTCCACATTTCCCAGCGAGGCGTACGAGGCCCTACACTGGTGGCTCTGAATACCTGTCCCTCCAACCGCCCTCCTCCGGGGACTGGGCAGAACTAAACCCAAGTCCTCACCCTGCCCACCTCAGTGTCCTATGTCATTGTATATTTGTACCTGCTCTTAGAACTGACTGGAGCCCCCTCGCCCAGCCCTACCCCTCCTGCCAGCCATATCTGCTGGTCACTGCCATCCACTCTTCCAGCTTTGCTCGGACACCTACTCCGGCCTTTGCACAGCCTCCCAGGATGCATCACACACTGGTGTGCACCCTGCATCACACGGGGCAGGCTCCACTGCTGGTCTGTTTCTACAGTCACTGTATGGCGCACTCCTTGAGGCCAGAAGTTGTGACTGCTTTGTGCCCTGTGCCCTGTTCCCAGCTCTGGACCCTGTGGCAGGCCACCAATCCGTACAAGTTTGCTGAACTAAATGAACCGCACTTTGGACAACTTAATAACCCTCTCTGAGCCTCAAATACAGAAATGATAACACCTACCTCCTATGGTGGCTGTTGGAACTACCTGGGATATGCAGGTAAAGTACCTAGCTCAGAGGCTGCCGCGCTGCACTTAGTCCTGAGTGTTAGCGTCCTGCCCTCACCTCCCTCCACCGTCCCTGAATCCCTCTCCTCACAGATCAGCCTTCACTCATGAGCCAGCTTCTCCCTGTGAGCCTCATTACGCCTCCAAACCACTGCTGGGGCCTGGAATTGGACAAGAAACTGGAGCTGACAAGAGGGTTCTCAGAGAGACGGAAGCATCTGCATTCATTAAGAAAGAAGAGAGAGACTGCATATGTATAACCAGTCTCTTGTTCTCTCTCCCCAAGCCTGCCACAGCCAAGCTAAGGGAGATACAGAGATTATGGCAGCCAGATTCTTCCCCTGCTCAGGTCCCCGCCTCACCCCAAAGCTTCACAGGAGACAATTACATCCCATCTGCATTAATAGATTTATGAGGACAAACTGTACTCAGTACGCTGTTCCAAATGCTGTATAGTAAAGTGTGCTCCAATGAATATAATAATAAAACTACTTTAAGATAAATTAATATGTTCCATGGAATAAACCTGATGCAGCAACAATCAAACCACAGACACTGCAAGTGTGAATCAAAACACCCAGGTCTGGCCCTGGCCGGGTAGCTCAGTTGGTTAGAGCATCACCCAAATACGCCAATGTTGTGGGCTCAATCCCACAATAGGGCATTTATAAGAAGCAACCAATGAATGCATAAATCATTGTAACAACAAGTAGGTGTTTCTCTCTCTCTTTCTTCAATTAAAAAAACACTCAGGCCTCCCCATGTCTAAAACAGGTCTGCAAACCGCGATCTCCCAAGAGCAAGGTCAGAGTCTGGCCCCTTCTGAGGCCCCCAGCTCTACCCAGGGCCCAGTGTCAGGAAGGTGTAGAGAAGCGAGAGGGAGGGAAAGAGAGAAAAGTAGAGGAAGAGAGACAGAGAAAATGCCACACACCTTCCGTTCCTCCTCCCTTTCAAATCTCCCACACTGGGGGCTGCAGGAGGAATCACCATGTAACCCAGACACCAGGAAATGTATAGGGGGACACCCACATTGAAGGCATAGGCCTCAGTGGTTTGACCAAGCTGACTGTATGATTTTGGGGAAAATAGATTAAAAGTCAAATCACTATTTGTAACTTTTATTTTTATATATTTATTTATGCATAGGAATAAAATATCATGTTAATTATAAAATAAAAAATATTAATTATAAAGTATTATTTTTCCAACACCCAGCTGACAAAAGGATTTCCTTTTGGACCCTTCACGCGTGTCCTCAGTCTTAACGCCCTCACCAGCCCTGGAGAGAAGCCGAGCCAAGCAAGCAGTCTTCCAGAACACAGCGCCCTCGTCATCCATTCAAGGCGTCAGACACAGCTCGCTGTGAAGTCATGCAGGATGTCGTCACCGGAAATGGCGCCCCGACCCACAAGCACCCACGCTCCTATCATTAAGGCCATCAGTTTTTTCATCAGCCTATAATCACATATTTATAGCCACTTACTACCTTCCCTCTATTAGCAATTTTTAGAGGCTCACTTACATCAATATTATACACTTATGGGATCAAAACCCTAGAAACAATGACTAAACCTGTTACATTGCTTTGCCTTCTTTTATTCTTAATTAATGCTGTCATGGGACTCCTAGAAGTACCCAAGTCCTGTAATGACCGAGGTTGTTTCAGGCTGAGCTGTTCTCAGACTGTACTTGGCTGCCCAAAATAAAGCATGTAGGAGAGAGAACACTGTGTAATATGAGACTCTGAAAAGACTCAACTCTTTTAATAAAGCACAATTTAGGGATGAGGGGACAGAAGGCTTGCCTCATATCCACTGTGCACAGCACATTCTCAGCGCTTCCAAGGTGGGGAGGCCAAAGCAACCAGAACCACCAGCCTGGTGCCGGGCAGGGGCAGACATTACTGTCAGTGCGGCCCTGGGCTTGCTGGCACAGACAGGCCTGAAGAACCAGACCAGTGCTCCCCTAAATGTCCACTGGGGACACAAAGCCACACCAAGTCTTAGCTCAAGTCAGTGGAGAAAACTCACTTATCACTGGGCACGCCTCACTGGGAACCAGGTCACACAGTGCTCCTGGAGCCAAGAAGGGAAGTGGCAGGAGCTGGCCCTGCACACAGGGAGACGCGAGGTTTCCAGGAACACCAATGCCTGCTTAAAGAACAACAGCTCCTCCAGCCACAGGTGGCAGTGCTCGGCCAGAGACTGTCTCCAGAAAAGCTGCTGGAGGGAAGAGGGACAGTGCAACCTCTGGGAAACCTACCCGGATCTGACATTCCTGGTGCCTCCTACCACGTGCTGGAATCCATCTACTGGAGGAACAGCAAATAGGTGTCTACTTGCCTCGAGGGGCTGCCCAGAGCACTGGGTAGGAAGGATTCTGTGGCAACATCTGGACTCATCAAGAAAGTGTACCATCATGGACAGCAATGGGTGTGCAACTTGCCCCCTATGGAGCTATCACCCCAGCTCTACTAGCACCCAGTTTTGGCTGGAATCATGACAGTGATGGGGTGTGGGTGCCTCCTGAGAGTCAACCACAGGCATGGGGTTCACAGTTCTGCGTACACATGCTAACTCCACCACTTAACTGCCTGGCAACCCTGGTCAAATACTTAAACTCTACCTCCTCCATAAAATGGGAAAGAATCACGGTGCCTATCTCACAGGGCTTTTAGGAGGAATGTGGTAAGAGCTCAGGAAAGGACAGCTGACTTTACTGCCTCATTCCAATGCAGTTAAAATGCCTTTCCCATACAAGAACACCTAGCTCTGAGATAAGAATACATTCTGTAATGAATAGGCCAAGATACCACAGGGCAATGCTCAGAGCTACCTGGCTCTGATGGCATCTACTAGGATGCAAGGTGGTCCTAGGTCCTGCCTCCTGCAGTACTCCACCCACAGCCTGGTTCCCACTCTGCTGGGGGCTGCCTGGTACCCAACCAGAAGGCTCCTCCCATTCTTCATGCTTAGCATGGAGCACCTACTTGAAAACTATGCTTCTAAAATTACTATAACAACCCAAACCAGTAGGT